CACTTTACCTAACAATCCAAGAAACCAGTAGTCAAATTGAATGCTTTATCAAAGCTGACTGTTAATCAGCAGGGAACTAGGCCTACATTCTTACACCATCACCATTCTCCTACCTTCCAACGACAAAGGTGTTTGTTATTGCTTGCTCTGTGGAGGAAAGGTTAGAAAGAAAGCATTCTCCACATGCCATCAGAATGGTTCAGTGAGTAAAGTGAGATGAAGACTAGTTCAACTTCAAGAAGATACAAATGGACGATAGAAGAGAAAGGAATGATTTGAGGCCATCTGCACTTCAAAAAAAGGGGAAAGAATCCACATATGTAGAGCAAAGCTTGCCTTACTTTTTTATTTTGTAAGGAATTTTTTTTAATACTGTTTTTATATAGGACAGAGCAATGACAAGCAATTCTCCTAAAAATAGTTCTCCACCGCCTAAAGACTGTAGGCAAGAAACACTTACCTGACAGACACCCGTATTTCCCAAATCAGTTTTGTGTATTGCCCTCAGCCCACATAATTCTGTGGTTTATATTTAGACTCTGTATTCCAGAATACAAATCTAATAGCAGTAAATTGCTTAGTCAGTCCTTTGACTTCTTATGCTATGGGCTGAAACTGTTGTTCAACAAACACATTAAGCTAGAAAAAGCAGATAAATACAGCTAATTCTCCTGTTTGATTTTCTGCATGGACTGCACAAGCAACAACTTATGTGTCAACACAAGGTTGGGGAAGAAAGTGCAGAAAGGGGAATGAGCAACTCGTGGAGGATGGCCTTTTTAATGACCCAAAAGGTTTATCATGCCATGACCTTAGGTAATAATGATGGAACACAAAACCTTAATGGCATAATTTCTAACAAATTACCATGAGTAACAGGTTACCTGAAAATAGTACACCGTGATGGGCAGGCAGAGGAAAAAACAGCAGGATCTGTAATATAAAGAGAAAAAGTCTTTATGAAGCTAAAAAGAGACATTTATTTTCCAGATTTCTCCTTATCCATTAAGCTTTATAATTTGTGCTTGATCTAGGTTCCCAGCCAGATTCAAATTGTATTTATCTTATAAGGCCTGTCAAAATGCAATATGATCTCCAAGCAAAGCTGCAAACATTCTTTTTTCTTTTGAGAATAGAGAGGTGATATATTTGGAAGATTGGCTTATTTTGAAGGTGTCTGTCAACCTTGCATGAAGTGGGTAGTTCTCTAAAAATAAAGTGAGTACATTTGCCGCAATGTAAGGAGAAGTAAAATCGCTTTTAACCTTCAAAACACTTTCCTTTCCTCATCAACTTTTTATCCTCAAACATGCAGAATAGTCAGCCAAAGTAGAGCAGGACTGGGAAGTCTGAGGTGAGAATGGGCATAAATGAGGAACGTTTGAATAAAGGAGTGGAGAGCTGACAAAATAAGCACAGATAAGAAGTGAGAAAACAGGTTATGTGAAGAAAGGAGAATAGGGAGTGAAGTCGAGGAAGCCTGAGTGGGAAGGAAGGCAAAATGTTTGTGCTTTTTAGCATTTCCTGGCCCTAATGCGCATTTCTCTTCTGTGGGCTTCCAAGCTACTCAGCAGTCACTGGGAATAAAAACCCAAAAACTACAAGCCAAACCTAACTTGTTCCCATTCTGTACACCTTCAAAAAAAGTCAAAGACAGTGGGATATGAAGAGCAGTTTCTTAATTCTATTATTCAGTTACATCTACGTTTGTCTAGTTTAGGCAGGACTTTAGTGCTTTAGAAACCGAGGTTTATGAAAGGAGGTCCTATGAAAATATTAATTATTATACCTTAATCTCCTTCCCTTTGAGGTCATTTACCTGGAGAGGCTGAGCTGTGCTACCTAACCCATATCCACAGCTAGGCTAAAAAGTTTATACTATTAAAGAAGTCACCGTTTTGCCAGCCCCACGCCCACATAGTAGTATGTATGGAAAAGAAATTCCTACAAAATCAGCAGAATTTAGAATGGCTCAAGATGTGTTTCAAGACCTTAATATGTTCCGGTGCAATAATTACCTATTTATTTATATTTATCAGATTCCTATCTTTTATACAGAAAGCTAAGAATAAAATGAAAGGAAACCGTTATTTAATGCTTTTAAATGTATCCTAAAAACCCTGGTTTTTCTAATAATCTATTCAATGAGAAAATCAGCATATTAAATGGAAATTTTCCAAGTGGGTAATCAGCATTGTTTTCAGAACTTGCAATTAAAACTAATTATTTTAGACTGTTGTAGCTTTCCTGTATTTTCTAGTTGCCAGATGTTTCTTCTTTGTACAGGACTCTTAGCAGCTGTAGATTAGCACTGACATGTTTTATTATCTCTGGGTACTGACTTTTGAAAGGAGCTTGTCAGGTTTTGATAAATGCTTGGACGTCAGACAAATAGAGAATTTCCTAGAAAAAGAGAAATAGGCATCCTAGCAATATCTAGAATAGTTAAAATAGATTAAAAGACTAAAGTGTAAGTGCAGTGACTCTGCATACAAGTAGTCCAGAACATGCAACTAGAGAATCTCAGAGCTTTATATTGCCCATATATACTTACATTCACTGCCCTTATATACTTATATACTGACTTGTTTTTGTTCTTAATGGATGCTTAATCCACCCTGTCTTTTTCATCAGCATGTGTAAAGTCAAATGAAGCACTCAAGAAAAGAGTGGATCTATCTCTATTGACATTGGACCTACAGACCACTTAAATACAGAGGAAACCTGGAAAAGAAGAACAGCAATCTCATTGTTTATTACTTTCTCCCCCACCCAAAATATATTTTTATTTTCTTTATCAATCTTCCTTTTTTTTTTTTTCTGTAATGGAATTATAGGTACTAAACCATCTGCTTTCGTACATACACTAGATAAAGTTGATATTGACTTTGTCTTTCAGGGTGTTGACAGATCAAATCTGTCAAATCTTAGTGGTGATTTAATAAACCCAGATGCTTGCTTTACCTGTCAGAGGAGCTCATACTGCAGCCATAGCAAAACTGGTGTAAGGGAACATGTGTTCCTGCCTCAGCTGCTTCCATACAAAGCCCAGAATCTGAGGGCCTTAACACCTATAACTCAGGCAAACAGTCGTTTGGCTTCATCTATTAGAACCTATAGCTGTCTGTCACTTCGCTTCGGCTGGTTGCTGTATAAGGTTCAGGAGAATGGAATATGCACATAAGTATCTGTGACTTCAGTTTGATGATTATACCTGAACTGTCATGGCTTCGTGAGGATGTACCCTCTTACAAAAGAGGTAGTTATTCTGGTTTCCCAGAGATTACCTTTCACATTACCTTTGCTCCTAACCCATCTAATTAGCAATTTAAAGTAAGATGCCAGACTCTGAACACAAGCCACTAACGTGCAAGAAGTAATTTATTCTGCTAGCCTTGAGAAAAATATTGAAATCTCCAGCTGAGGTCGGTGCAGCCTGCTTCGATAGGAAGACAGTATCTTCAATCAGTACAGCTAAATTGCCTGAACACATCTGTCTGAGTCTGCAGATGAGGCATAAAAGAATATTTTTACATTCTTGCTAACATTAATGATCTGTTAGCACTTGTTTTAACAGCTGAAAGGCTCTTGTTCTTTCTTCTCCATTGTCTGCAATGTTTTTATTTAAAGGATTGGCCACTTTTTACCTCAAATGCAGCTTAAATTAATCAATACTCTATTAACTGCCGTAGTAGCCAAGAGGGCAAACCACATCCTGGGGTGCCTCAAACACAGTATAACCAGATGGTCAAAAGAGGTGATTACCCCGCTGTATTCAGCATTGGCATGGCTTCACCTGGAGAACTGCGTGCAGTTCTGCACCCCACAACTTAGGAACAATGGGAAGGTCCTCGAATGCATCCAGAGGAGGGCAACAAAGCTGGTGGAAGGGCTGGGAGGAATGTCCTATGAGGAGCAGCTAAGGACTTTGGGTTTGTCTGGTTTGGAGAGAAGGAGGCTGAGGGTAGATCTCTTTGCTGTCTGCAGCTTCCTGAGGAGAAGTAGAAAGGGAAATGCCAATCTCTTCTCACTGGTATCCAGTGATAAGATGCCTGGGAATGGTTCAAAGCTGTGCCAGGGGAGTTGACTGGGCATTTAGGAAGCATTTCTTTACCTAGAGGGTGGTCATGGGACACCTCTCTGGGCAGCCCGTTCCAGTGCTGTGTCACCCTCAAAGTAAAGAAGTTCCTCCTCATGTTTAGGTGGAACTTCTTATATTCAAGTTTGTGCCCGTTACCTCTTGTCCTGTCACTGGGCACCACTGAAAAAAGACCAGCTCCATCCTCTTGACGCCCTCCCTTGAAGTATTTATAAGCATTGATCAGATCCCCCCTCAGTCTTCTCTTCTTTAGACTAAAGATTTCTCTTCTTGAGACTAAAAGACCCACATCCCTCAGCCGTTCTCCTTAAGAGAGATACCTTTGACAAAAAGGGTTCTCACAGATGACTCAAAACCACCTAACCAAACCAACTGCATATTTTTTTTTTCCTCTGGAGAAGCACAGGGAAACGGAGAACAACATGATTTTGACTGAAAGCTGAGGGGAAAGCCGCATTTAAAAACATTCTCACTAAGATCCACCCCCGCTCTCCCCGCGCCTGGGGCCTGACCTGCTTCGTTAATGGACCCCTTGGTTCCATCTGGGCGCCTCACAGACTTATTCCTGAGGTATTCAGGGCTGCTCCGAAGCTAGGAGAGAGCAAAAGAGTTTTGTCATGACAGGTGTGACTGAAACCTGTGGTATTAGTTGGGCCAGGAAAGGTGACAATAAGGATATGGCACAGTGACTGACAGTTTTGGTCCGTTGCCAAAATCCTCCCGGGGGGCCGTTGCCGTTACCCTCGCCCTCCACGGCGGGAAGCCTCGACCCCTCCACAGAGCACTTACCGGTGAGGAGATAAGCGAGTCGGGGACAGAACTACACTTCCCGGCAAGCCGCGGGGGCGGAGGGAAGGCGAGGGCGATCCCCCGACGGCGGGAGGCGGGGGAGGAGCGTGAGGCGGGCGAGGAGCGTGAGGCGGGCCGCCTGAGAGAGCGGCGTCGCCGCGGCCATTGGCGGGTGGCGCTGCCATGGCGCTCTCCGGGGCGCCCCTCAAGGTTTGCATCGTGGGCTCGGGGAACTGGTGAGTGCGGCGGCGGCAGCAGCCCCTGAGAGGGCTTGACGCCTCAGCGAGCGGCTCCGGCCTGACCTTCCCCCGCCGCCGTGCCCGCCCGGGGCCTTGCTGTGGAAGCCCCCGCAAGCTGGAGGGTTTGGCGCCGCGGCCGCGCTTCCCTCAGGGGGTGGCGGCGGTGGCGGTGAGGGGCAGCCGCGCCCCGGAGGCGACGGCCCCGGTGCTGGGGGTGAAACACGGTGTCGCCGGCGGCAGGGCTTGGTTTGTGGCGAGGTTTTGGGGGCGCGTGTGCGTACGGGTGGGCTTCTCCAGCCCTCGGTCTCCCTCGGAGGCTGAGGTGCAGTCCTGAGGTAAAGGAGGCGGGTAAACGGCAGGACCGAGTGCTTGCAGGCACCCACCTCTCCTGTGAAGAAGTTATTTAGGATATTTTTAACCTGGTATTTGTTGTGTGTGGCTTGTCCGATGTCATTGACCTAGACGTTAAAAATACTCAACATTTATTTATTTTTTTATTTTTTCCCCAGCAGGTCATTGCTAACTAAGCGCTGCCTGTAGGGCTTCTGTAATAAGTCCGCATCTCTCCAAAAGTGTTGTTGGGGTTTCCAAGGTAGTTCAAAGAAAAGTTGTGAGACACTAGGTTATTTGAAATACCTTTTATTTTTTAAAATTGATTACTCTGAGGCACACTGGAGGCTTGAGACAAGGTTTTATTGCTGCATCTATCCCTAGCTTATAGTTAGGCTTAAATAAACTTACTCTTGTGGCATCCCATTAGATTTACTAATCATTTCTCTAAGAGAAGTCTCATGTTAATAACGTTTTATTTTGTTTCGTCACTTTCTCAACCATTCCTGAACACTGATTTTACCCTGGATCTCTATTTACAATGAATAAATTAGGTACAGTGTGTTATCTAAATGTATCCTCGTGGTTTGTCACTTTAATTACTAATGCTAAGCATACATTATTTCTGATAACATTCTGGTTTTTAAGACTAAATCTAAATTAAAAGCAGTTTGGCATAGAGCAAGGTTAGTGCAGTTTACTCAGGGTGATCTTAGACTTGTTGCTCATCCCCTTCCCCCCTTCGTGCAGGTGGCTTTTGCTGCTGTTTTGCATAGTTAAAAGTATCAGCAACTGAGTCGTGTTCTTCTTTCTGATGGCTGACATTTCAGTGCAGCATCTCTTGCTTTCCTTGCCCTAGCTTGTAAGATGAACGGGGAGACACTGTACGTTGTAATATATATCAAAAGGAAATTATGTAGTTAGACATATTAATCTTTTAGGAGTATTGTTCCCATTTTCCCATACCTGAAATTTAGCAAAACATTTTACAGGAAGTTTGCACTCTGAAACACACTTGCAGAAGCAAAAGGATTTTCTAGATCCTGTCTACTAGCAATAACCATGTGCATATATATTTTGTTTTCATCTCATTGGATCAGTTTATTAACAACAAAAGCTCATGCCTAATGGTATGGATATTTGGGTGGCAAAATTCCTATATCTGTAAGGCTGAGAGAAAGAGATACTGCTATTATTGGGGATCAGCTTTTTTCTTTCTTTTGGGAATAAATGTATTCAAATAACTGAGAACTTAGTTTGTATTTGATAGGAGTGTGGCAATTTTGTGTGGCAGCAAAGCAGAAACTAAAGTAATCAAAAATTTTAAATCGCAAATGATTTGTTGTGCAGCAGCTTTCCCATCTTCCTCCCCGTGCCACCCTGAAAGTTTCTGAGAACAGTAATTCTTGGAGATGAAGGTGATTCTTCCTCAGAGTCCAAGGGATGACAAACACCAAACCCTGACTGCAAAGAACACAGTGATTTGATAATATACACAACCATTGAACTAAATAGAACATAATTTGAGTTGTGTATCTGTGTGCATGTAAGTGCCTTTTTGAACTGGGGCCTCTGGCCCTAAAGTGGAAGCATTTCATGCTGGAAAGCAGGTAAACAGAAAGAAATTGACGCACTGATATGCATCTTATCATTGGTATTTTGGAGTGATATATTTTTGAAGCCTGGATTACGGGAGTGTGTGATGGGTGTTGCCTACACTGTAAGCAGTTCAACAGAGACTGTGGGGTTTTGGGGTTCTGTGAGATGATTCTGTCCCACAAATGCAAGTGACTATAGGGATGTCTTTGCCTTCACACAGGCCTTTAACCTATATCTGGGATGAAAAGAACCCACTAAAGGAGGTTGGCACGACAGTGGCCCTTTAGAAGGGTTGAGCCAATCACCTTGGATGATAAACTCCTTCCAGTTAGACTTGTTTGGTCAGTTTGCTAGGGGGAAGGTCACCTTAACAATGAAGTTGACTTGGCAGGGGTCACTGGACACCTGATGGAAGATCATGGGACGGGACAGATGGTTATCAAGGCCTAGAAGCACAGGAAGAACTGTGCTTTTTGCTGGCCTTGCCCACATTGCTCAGCTGGTGGGTAAGTGATTGTATTAGGATCTTTAAGATAGGGGATAAAATAAGCTTTCTTGAACACAAGGAGAGTACTCCTTTGAAATAACCTTGAAGCCTCAGTATTCAAGTGCCCGGATTCAGTTAAAACACAGAAAATGCTGCCTCAGACATGTACTATAGCTTGCTCTTCTGATAACACTTCCAGGGCAGGCTAACAAGGTGTGTACAACCAGAATTTATCCCTGCCTGTTTTGCTAGAACGGGTCCTTAATGAATCTGATCAATCACCTTGAACAAAACCTGTAGAGTTTGGGAAGAGAGGGGAAGTTACTGGGACAGAGGGGTTCATTTGCTTAGCAACCGGCTTGTAGAAAAATGAGATGTAAAAGTTGCAGCTTAACTGAGGTGATTTTATAGGGATGAGTGCTAGAGCTAGTTAATAGTGGTATTTATACTTGCATATTGTGACTTCCACTAATGCTGGTACCAGAGCAAGTTTAAGAGTTTCTGGTTTTTTGTACTTTAGCTTTAAAGTGATGAGGGGAAAGCAGAGCAACTGTGATACATGGTAACAGTGAAGGGCAGGAGACAGAGTGCATGGTCTGGCTCAGTGAGGTCCAACAGAGTTCTTCAGGAGTCTTAAGTAAGAACTGTATGTGATTGTGCTCATTGCAAGGAAGAGAACTGCTGTTTGGCATGCAACTACCTTGTTGTATTAGTTGAATAGCATTAACCATCCCTCAAAGCATGTCAGGGTTAAGGTTATGAGGAAGTCTTTCACTATGTTTTTTTCTTGTGTAACCGAGCTGCTGCAGGCACCAAGTCTTGCAGTCTGGCTCACACTAGAACTGTTATTGCTAGGAATAAATTGGCAGGAATTCCCATTCCTTTGCCTTGTGATGTGTCAGGAGTATAAAAGATGAGCCAGACATCCCAGTAAACTATTTCAGAGTACAGACTGAGGAGTACTAGGACACAGAAGAGAATATAGACTCGCTTGTTGGATTAACAGGTGTGGGGAACTGGTATTTCACCTTGCATAGAGCAATCTTAATCCCGGTGTCAGTTGTTTGACCTTGCTTAATTCAGTCCTACAGCAGTTGTTGCAACAGGAAAAGAGGAACCAGAGAAGCCAGTCAGGAGAATCTGCTTGAATTCAGGAACTAAGACTAGAAAATTCCTTGTTTTTTCCATACTACATGCAAAGGTTGAAAAAAAAATACAGCTAAGGCATTTAAGTGTTAAATAGTAATGGAATTAATGTCTCACTCAAGTAGTACACGCTGCCAAAATTTAAGCTGGCAAACTGTTTGAAAATCCCAGCCAGACTAGTTGCTGAATCAGTTATTTTTGTCTGTCTTTATCAACACTAAGCACAGAGGATGTGTAAGGAAGTTCAAAACTGAAGACAGTGATGTGCCAGGATCCAGACTTTGTATATAAATCTGCAGTAGTAAATGTGCATTTGTTCAAGGAACTCAAAGCACTTTCTGAGGAACATGTACTTGTGTTGAACGTGATTCATAGTGTTTGTGTGGACCTGAAGTTTGGGGGTTGAGCTGCAGTGGAAAGCACTCTGCGTGCAGATCTATTGTATGAGCTTGATAAGAGATGGCTGACAATTCTGGCTTCTGTATCAACTTCTGAACCCAGGGGAATTTGTAGTGTGTGAAGTGCTATTAGAAAAATAAATTTCAGACTTGTAAGACATATGGTCTTATGGTTTAACTGAATAAGGTCTACTTAGGATACTATAATTTTTTCTGCCCCTGCTTAGAAAGTGACCTTAGGCTTGTGATAGCACAATGAGTTGTGCCGTATTAAAAGCTCTTGGAGCAGAATGAATCTATTTGGTTGAGTTGCCAGCTATGAGTATTGCAGAATTACAAGCAACGTCCATAATAAATTTAGGGGAATGTGCCAGTATAACCTAGATTTGAAAAGTTAAAGTGTTCTTAACTCTTAATAAAGTGTGCCGTTTCCACACACGCACATAAGCCTCAGATCGGTGACTGTGTATTTTTACCCCATTTTTCTAAATTTTTTTTTCTCTACTTAGTAGGTTATCAGTAATTATGAAGCTGCCTTCTTAGCCTGTTAGGGTAACAGGCTTTATGAAATTGCATCTCTTTCTTCCGTGTGGCATTCAGGCTAGGAATGGAAGGGAAGGTTGCATTTGTTCCTCCTCTTGTATGTAGCTTCAATAATTCTGATTATTTTCATTGTTGCTTAGAGATTTGAGTAGTAGAATTGATCACCATCCTACAGGTTTCACTCTGTGCTGTTCTTGGGGAGAAAATGAGGCTGTGGTGGAATTGTCAGCCTGCAAATTCAGAGGATGCTGTTGCAACAGTTAAATTCTGGGAGGTTGGCATCATAACCATAAAGCTTACAACTTATGCAAGACAATTTAGTATGTCACTTTTACCACTGCTTTGAAGATATACTCCATTTGATCTGTGGAAATACAGTAACCCAAACTCTCACTGCATAGCCAATAAGCAGACAAAATAAGTAAGGACATTTTCAACAAATGCTTTAGTCCAACCTATTCCAGGTATATTTAAGAGAAAGCAGCAGGTGGAAATGACTGGGTATTTTTCCACTTGTTTCACTAGATGAAAAATGGTACATAGTAACTGGTCCAATAACATGTGAATTTCTGTTTATTTAGAGGCAGTCTCTTTCTTCTAGAGCAAAATAATAATTTTAAAAATACTTTTCTTCCCTGCAGGGGTTCTGCGGTTGCCAAAATAGTAGGCAATAATGTAAAAAAACTGCAAAAGTTTGCTTCCACAGTGAAGATGTGGGTTTTTGAGGAGAATATTAATGGAAGAAAACTGACGGATATCATAAATAATGAACACGAAAATGTAAAATATCTTCCTGGATACAAGCTGCCGGATAATGTGGTAAGGCTCAGAAGCTAAATTCTAGTTATGGATCAGAGGGATTATTGCTTATGCTGTGAATGGAGGTAGAAATTTGTTATGTTAACAGCTTTAGAGCTTATAATATTTTATGCTATTTTACTGATGAGATCAGAGATTCGAACAAGTAAAATTGTGCAATTATACAGGTAAGTAAATCCAACACGCCAGTCTCGCTATTGTCTTTAGGTTACTTCAGTTTCTGTATAGGGAAGCAAATGTGAAAGCGAAGGCAAGATTAGCAGCATACCCAAAAGAAATTTGGCCTCAACTTTGGAAGGGAGTGGCTGGTCAGTGAGAACTGCGGGGATTTCAAGTACTCTGAAACTCTTAGACAAAGTAATGCAGGAAGAGAGCTAGAGTATTTCTCAAGCAAACTGCAAGCTGCTTGCAGCTGATCTGGTTCTCAGTTGCTGATCGTTCTCAGATGACCAAGTTAGAGGTAGCATTGCCAGGGCAGAACAGTGGGACTCCACGTCTGTTCTGTATTGCTGTAAAGTGATGGTGGGTGGGCAGGTGGTAACTCTTGCCCCAAAAACATTATAGGAAGAAGCTGCAGCAGCTGACAACTCCGTAGAGAATTTTGGCAGGAAAAATATGAATTGCCATGCATTGCAGTTTTCTCTTTAACACGAATGCTGAAATGCCATTTCCCTGGCCTTCAGCAAGGGTGGTGTTTCTGCTGTCCACTATGTGCTCAATCAAGTTTGTTTTGTTTATCAATAGGTCGAGCTTATTGCTACATTTGAAACCTGATATTTTAAGATGGTCATCAGGTGGTAGGAAAAGTGGAGTCTGGCTGGTGACCTCAAAGTAGATCACCTTCTTAAAGGGTAAACAAAATCTATGGGTACAGAGAAAGAGAATATAAACTAGTAGGTGTAAGAGGCCTGGAGAAAAAATTGCATAAGGAACTAAGTAAAGAAAGTACCTTCCAGTGTGCAATAATTTATCAAAAATTGAGAATATTTTGTCAAATAGAAGGCCAGTTTTTATTTTATATTTTCATACTCAGAGTACTTGAATGTTAGAGAACGTTTTGAATTTTGGTTGCACTAACCGTGCTGGCGGCTGTGAAGATACCCCTTTCAAGAAGTAAAATAGCTTCTTTAAAGGGCTTACATTCTTTTGCTTTTTTGGGAAGTTTGTTACTGCATATTTTCAGATATTTTTGTTGATGAATCACAGTTGTTTGTAGCATTCAGTATAAGACCACAATGTACTTTTACTTACTAGCTAACACATGTGTATAGTGTTAATTTTTATAAGTGGCTTTTCTCTCCCATAACTACACAGGTTGCTGTACCAAATCTTAATGAAGCTGTACGGGATGCAGACTTGCTGGTTTTTGTCATTCCTCATCAGTTCATTCATAAAGTCTGCGATGAAATCACAGGACGAGTACCCAAGAAAGCGCTCGGTATTACTCTCATAAAGGTAAAATAATTATTATGCATTAATAACTGAGAATGTGTCATAGAATCTTCTAAAACAGGGTGGCTTGATATTTTGATACGAAAAGTCTTTTTTTCTCATTAGCTTGATCGTTCCATTAAACCTTTCTAGATCTTTGATTGGAATTTGTCTTAGTCATTAGTGGATTGTTATGCAGTGTTTTGTTTTAGGCTAGCGCTTGCAGGAAGAGGAAAACGAGGGTGTTCAGAAGACTTTTAAAAAGAAAGAGGGAGTGAATATGTTTTGCACCACCAAGCTTTCCAGTCTTTTATTTGTTGTTTCCAAATGCATCATTAGATGAAGAATAGAGCACAAGCATAATGCTTTGATTGTTAAGGCACATCCCACACACTGAGTTGATCATTTTATGAACTGCTGAGGGAATTTCATGTGACTGAGAGCATAGTGCTCTTGTTCATGGCAAATATTATGTTGCAACAAGAGAGTCTGTTCATGTTCAGCATGGCCCAGAAAGAGAGTTTGAGCATAGGAAAATAGGAGGGGGCAGAGTAACTCCAGCAAGTATTTCACAGGAGTGTTTGTGATTTTAGTAGTAGGAGAATTTTTTAATGTGGATGGGCTTATTTTTTTTTCTCTCCTCCCCCTGATCCCCAGCCATGTGTTTAGCTGCAAAGAATAAGCTATTCCCACAAGGTTAGGAAGATTCTAGTTTGCTGTTGCTTTGTACTTAGTTGAGAGTAGGCCAGTTTCTCAGCACACATTCTCTTGTTTACTGTCATTTCTGGCAAATGATACGTTTATGAATCTCTGCTTAAAAAGAACAAAACTCCACTATCACTGCAAAACTCACTTGTTTCTTCAGTTTGGCTAACTAAGCCCATCAAATCTGTGTTATTTTGTCAATGCTGACCTGATACATTGCTGAGATGTATGAAAAAGTAATGCTTCCCAAGTGCACTTGCTGCGTTTTGTAGAAAAATTTTCATGTTGTGGAGGGATAAAATAAGACAGTGTTAAAAGAGATAATGCATAGCGTCAAAACTACACAACTGCCCTAGATGCCCTTAAGTTTATTACCTTGAAGTTGTCTGTTTATGCTTCTTTCTTTTATAAACACAAGAGAAACGTTATTCTCCTTTAATTTGTTAAATGGGATTTATGTCCTCGTGTCCTTAGGATAGGAATAACTCTAATGAAATCAGTGGAGTAAATAAGGATTTATGTCAGTGCATCTGAAGTCAGAGTCTAGACCTATATTCCCTTGAGATTTCTGCTCTGGGTATTAATTATCAGGGCATTAGGGTGTTGATTAATGGCTACGTTTAAGTAAAATAGTGACACCTGCCATGCAAGGAAGAGTGGACAGTTAAGGCAGCTTCCCACTGTCATGTTTTGACACTGCATCAGTAGTGATGTTTCAAAAGAAGCGTTGAGAGGCCCCTTTTAATTGTTTTGCAGGAAAATGCAAAGTACGTTAGCCTTTATGAAAAGGCATAACTGTGCATCATTAAAAGTATCATTTAAGAAGAAGGGGCAGAAATTTAACACAACAATGAAACTAAGTAGTAGAGGCAGGAAACATTCTTTTCTCTACTTTTGCAGCTTCTTTATGCATGCTGTTTTCATCAAAGTCATATTTTTTTAATGTTCTCATTACACTCAACACTAATGCTATTAAAGTGGCATGTGTTAACTGTGGCAGTTAAAGTGCAGTTCTGCTCTGAAAAATATCATTAGTGGGATGTTTTGTTTCGGTGCTTTCTAAATTGCTTGGCAGATTAGCAGTGTGGCATCTTTTAGTCTTTTATTTTTTTACTTTTCTTTTTTTTTTTTTTTGGTTGATAACCTAATCTTGAACCAGAGCCTAACGTCTGATAATAAAACCAAGTCTTTGGGAAATAGAGACAGCCCCAGAGGTTGCTCTGGCAGGTGTGTTAGGCTGCAAGTGATAAGATGACAGAATTGGATTTGCATTGCCCGGGGATCATTGCTACTCAGTGGAAATTCCCACGTTGGAGCCTTGGGTTTTGGGGTAGGGAGGGGTGTTTGTTTTTCCTCCTGTCATCTTGTCTCGGTCAGTATTGGGTTTAACTCCACAAGGAACAGGTGCAGCTCTCCTTGACTTTGTCAGAAGTTGCATCTGTTCATAGCAGGGCTGAGTTTGGCACCTAAGCTTCTCTGATCTTCTTTCACTTGGATGAATAATTGTTGTGTGTGTATTCACATTTTTGGAGTTGTTCCCGGTGTGTGCATGCTTTTCTGTTTATTAATTGCCTGCTTAAGAGGAGGGGCCTTACAGTTGCTTTGTGGGGACATATTTGACACTGTGAGGGAAAACCACAACATGTATATGTGTGCTTGCTTGCAAAATAGAGCTTCAAGTTTTCCCCATGCCAGCTTGATAAGTGAGCTTTCTATCTCCTTTTAACTCAGATTTTTACTCTGTCTAAAGAAGAATACATCATTCATATACTGTGAATCAACAGAGAGAATGGGCAGTGTGGCATTTTTTTGTTTTTTTTTTTTTTTTTTTTTTTTTTTTTTTTTTTTTGGTTGATAACCTAATCTTGAACCAGAGCCTAACGTCTGATAATAAAACCAAGTCTTTGGGAAATAGAGACAGCCCCAGAGGTTGCTCTGGCAGGTGTGTTAGGCTGCAAGTGATAAGATGACAGAATTGGATTTGCATTGCCCGGGGATCATTGCTACTCAGTGGAAATTCCCACGTTGGAGCCTTGGGTTTTGGGGTAGGGAGGGGTGTTTGTTTTTCCTCCTGTCATCTTGTCTCGGTCAGTATTGGGTTTAACTCCACAAGGAACAGGTGCAGCTCTCCTTGACTTTGTCAGAAGTTGCATCTGTTCATAGCAGGGCTGAGTTTGGCACCTAAGCTTCTCTGATCTTCTTTCACTTGGATGAATAATTGTTGTGTGTGTATTCACATTTTTGGAGTTGTTCCCGGTGTGTGCATGCTTTTCTGTTTATTAATTGCCTGCTTAAGAGGAGGGGCCTTACAGTTGCTTTGTGGGGACATATTTGACACTGTGAGGGAAAACCACAACATGTATATGTGTGCTTGCTTTCAAATTCTTTTTCTGTGGCACATTAAAGATGAGAAAACAGAGCTGTGCATGAAGTGATACAGATTGAAATATAATGCAGAAATATAAGCACTGTTGTCTGTAGTTTAATTGGTTAATTTTATACATGCATTTCTGCATGTGTCTTGATTGCACTGTGTTATTTAAGGAATAGCACCTCTGATCTGTGGAAATGCAAATGGCAACATACGGGGGGGGTGTGTATATCTGGAAGTAGTAGAGCATCTCACTGCCTTTTTGCCTTTAAATCGTAATTCAAAATTACCAATCCTCTAAAGTACCAAGTATCCAACGTTATGAGACGGTGCTGTATAAAAGGTGGTATAGTGTGGGAAAGACAGACCATTTCAGTAGCTTGTCTGCCATGTCCTTCTTCTAAAAACTCAAAAGGAGTCTGCATTTAGCAGGCTAAGAGAAAAGGAATTTGTGAGAAGAAAGCGGTCATGTTTGGAGTTCTTGGTTCAGGCAGTTTGGGGTACCAGACTCTCTTCTCCATTGCAGCATTACTGTCCAATCACCATTACATACTGATCTTAGTTCTAAGGTCCTATTTCTGCCCCTACTTTCATGCTTTGGAAAGAGTGCATTATAAATACAGACTAAAAATATCCTTATAAGTTAAATTATTCTCAGTTGTTCAGCTTTCTACATATCTGAGAACAGCTGTTCCATTTGTAATAGTATTCAAAGTGATTAAACTGAGTTTCTACCGGTAGGCTGTTGTTGTTGTACAGAAGGGAATCTGTCTCTGATATTTCAGTTCAGATACATCTTCATAAAGCAAGTATGTGAGTTTTGTGAGTTTTGGTGCATTTTCAAATCCAAGTGCAGGGCTGATTCACAACTGATGGATTGATGCTTCGCTGATTTTTAGGAAAGATACAATGATAATAAGCGGCTGAGATTCTGAACTAACAAAGGTGAATATTCAGCACTTCTTAGAATCAGGGCTTTGAGCATGGAATAAAACTCATTACCGTCATCGAGAGTTTGTTCCTAATTCTTAAGGTGCTGCCTCCTATGAAAAGAAGGCAGCTTGGCAAGGGCACAACAGCAGCAGAAGTTTCACTGGTAGCAAGTCTGTCATCGTTAGTTTCTATCTGAATAGGCCTTGTTGCAGCTCCCACCCGTGGACAAGAATAATTGTGATGTGCTTTCTTCTCTACTGTGTCTAATGAATGACTTTTTAGTAATTCCATTTAATGTTGGCTGCAGGGAATAGATGAAGGCCCGGAGGGACTCAAACTGATCTCTGACATTATTCGAGAGAAGATGGGAATAGACATCAGCGTGCTGATGGGAGCTAACATTGCCAATGAGGTCGCAGCAGAGAAATTCTGTGAAACCACAATAGGTATTGTTCCAAGTAATAAGAATATGTAAAACACGCTCCTGTCCCACGGTTCCACAGCAAATAGTTCAAATTGTATTGTTGTCAGTGTTAGCTGGCTGTTACCAGAAACTGTTGGGTTCTTCTTATTTTAATGGTGAATTTCCTAGAATGCTTACACTTCCAAAAGTACTAGGACAGTACCAGGAATAGATGGAGAGGGAGGAGTTAAATTTTACTTAGTCTCACTAAGGGTTGTCACCTTAGCAGGTGAAATACTAAGTGTGCTTTTTAACACCCTCCTCATAACAAACTGCTTAGGATTTTTCTTGGGTCTGCGTGGCTTTAGATGGATGAATGCTTCTATATTCTGTACTCCAGCTCAGGTGTTATGGTCACAGATGGTATTCTTATGCGTGTTTGGGTTGTGGGTTTTTTAAGGTATCAAAATCTTACTTTAATTTCTCAAAATAATTGGTTTCCCCAAAACCTAGCCATGGTTTTAGATCTGTGTTGATGTCTGCACACCTTTGCAGCGCAAAGATGTGCCTAGTCTGGGGTTTCACAGTGTCTAGATAGGCAAGTGTGTCTACACCTATAAGTAATCATACATAATAGTACAGAGTTCATGTTATTCTTTTCAGTGTTAATTTTTTTCATGCTTTTGTAGCTTGATAACCTCTCATTACAGCTTTTGCATTGAATTTATTTTTGAATGGTTGAATTACCTCAGTGCTTAGAAACATGTGGCAGCACATTCAATTAATAAAACATCCTTGTCATGCCTTTATCAGTAGGTATTTTTCTGGAATGCAGACCTTAAAATAATTGGTAGAATTGCACCTGCTGTATTTTTAATTCACCTTTGTTTTATTATTAACTATTCTTTTTAAAGAGAATGATCAAAAAAGAGAGATTGTAGAGAATTAATGGAATTGTTATTTAGAATCTGTTGCTGAGCAGACAATGAATTATGAAGAAGTCCAGAGTAACTCTGTGCAGAGCTTTTAAGTGCAATGTAGACATGTCCTTAGCCACTTAAAACAGGAGCCTGTTTAGGGTGAAGATAGAAAAACCTTATATCTGCTTTTAAGTATTTTGTCTTGCACAGGAAAGGCAAACACCCAAACAAATTACTTATTTTTTTAGCCTTCCTTTCTCTCTCTCAACAGGCAGCAAAATCTTGGAAAACGGCCTTCTCTTCAAAGAACTCCTGCAGACTCCAAACTTCCGAATAACGGTAGTAGACGATGCAGATACAGTTGAGCTTTGTGGTGCTTTGAAGGTAAGATCAACAGGCTGCAGCTGATACACAGATGGAATGGTGATCCTTGTAGAAAAAAGAAGAGGGCATTTTCATTTAAAGAGTTATATTTATTGGGCTTTATAAGGCTGCTACATAACATTTCCAGAAGAATTAGATGGGAAATCAGGGAGCAGCATGTTCTAGAGAGTTAGCTTTTTGACCCTTGTCTCACCATCTCTCAAGTTCTTTTTCTACATCAGCTTACACACAGTCATGAAGCAGGTGTTGATTACATCTAACTGATCAACATATTTCTAAATCAAAGAAAGGGAGAAAGCAGTTGGCATTAATCCTTTGTGTCTGTTGAGTCATTGACTCGCACAGTGTGAGCACTCTTAACGGTTTATATTTTGTGGACGTACAGTGCGTAAGGTTCATGTGGGTAACCACATCCAGAAATGACCTGAATAGGAAAAAAGTTACTTTGGGCAGTTACTTATCTGGATTTTTTTGGTAACAAAATCGATGCTGACAGGAAGCAAAGGCTAGCTTAAACATGTTCCTATTAGCATTTTTTTAAGGTTAATTTACAGGCCCATTTGTGAAAGGAAGGCATTAGTTGCTTGGCACCCTGGCCAGTAGTACTGTACGTCACATTATCTGATATCTATCATGGAAGCATTTCTGATGGGTTTAGTAGATAATTTGGCTTTTTTATTTTTTATGTTTTATGTTATTTTGTATTGTTTTGTTTTCTCTGTTGAAATTATGTGTAAACTACACAATTCGCTTGCAAAGCTACCAAGCCAATAAACGATGTCTTTAAGCTACAGATTTCTGATTCTGCTCAGTGAAAAGTAGAATGATAGCTATAATAACATGATTTTTGACTTACTGGTTGTCTTGAGAATTTTGTCTTGAGAGCTGTCATACTGGAGATCCTGAGGAGGAGGAGGTCATGGGTCTGTGCACTGAGCTAATGGGCTGTGCTTTGGTATAACATGCTTTGAAGTTACTGTATTTATAGCAATTTCTTCAGATTGCGGAGCTTGTAATTTGGCTATACACCCATTACTTTAAAATGCTGTGGTGATGTGGGAGGTTAGGAGGAAAGAAATCTCTGTGCATAGACCCATGAAATTAGTCAAAAAGTTTTATAGATTTATTTTTCTTTTAAATTTGCTCAGCCTGATATTTTCTGCCTATCTTAAATTCTTGTGTGACAGAGGAGTTCTGTCCCAAGTAATTCTTATTCCAGACAAATCTCATGAAAGGGTGCTAAAGATGAGTGTGCCCATCAAACTGAGCAGCTGAAACTCTGCTGTAAAGGTGCAAGTCAGGCAAGATACCAGCATCTCTCTTTGGAAGTGCAGAAGAATTTAAATAAATTGTTGTTGCTGACCTAGGAAGATACTGAGATGAAATTTGAGTGTTCTTTCTAGTCTTGTTTTGTTCCTCCCTCCTGTGTTGTTTTTCATCACGCATCCTGCAGACCCAACTCTCTAGTTCCATTTCAAAAAGGCTGTATGTGTTCTGCGTGCTCTGGTCATTCAGTTTTGACTACACTATATTTAGTTAACTGAGTTGACACTTCCAAAGAAATGCTTGTTAGGAACTCTAAATAAAAAGCAAATTAAGGCTAGATTCACTTGTTTAAAAATGCTATTAATTTCTTGCCTGATCAAAAGGCATGAACTGGTATAAAGTGGCATAGATCAGTCATGCTAATGATAGGTGATGTGCTTTAAACATACAACTCTCCCTTAATCTTAAAGAAAATGTTATTAAAATAATATTTTTTTGAAGTAATTTTTAATTTACAACCCTGTCTAGGTGAATCTTAAATCTTGTACAGTCAACATGGAAATAATTTCCTGAGCTCTTTCTAACTCAAACACTGCAAAAATTTATTAATGCACTGGGGATTTGTATGCCTCTAAAACAAAATGAAGCTAAAATTAAACAGATGGGTGTGATTTTATTGCCTGTACAGAGCAAAATGGAGAGCTCAGATGTGAATAGTGAAATGTAAACTTTAGCTTTTTTTTCAAGTTGTTCATTCTTATGACTAGGAGAACTGTTTGCTAAGGGTAACAACAAGCACTTTGGGTTTTTATGATTAATCTGAAAATCTTTGTGTTAAAAATGTGAAAAATAAGCATCTTTTCGTGTGATCATTTTTAGGGAAAAATTTAAAGTGTAGATTCTGCCAGCTGACAGTTACTTCATTAGACTTGGAAAGTTACTTAATGAAAAAAATAATAAAAATTAGCATTGCTTAACTTGCTGGAAGGAGGAAATTTCTATTTCAGAAGGCGACAGTGTTGTGTGAAGAGATGGGTATAAAAAGAGGGTTCTACTCCCTTTCTGTAGCAGTGGCAATTCAAAGTGTCAGCAGCATCACTGCAAACTTCACCTTAGAAGACAAAAGAAAGCAGGCACACATGCCAGTCCAGGCTGTCTTTTTGGATGTGGAAATAGTAAAAGCAACTCCTGTGTTGGTATTTAAATGATGAGAAATACTACACTGTGAGAAATAATATATTCTCCCAGCTTCTGCATTTTTCTATAAATACCACCCTGGGAAAAGGAGACTTTTCTGGTATTTCTGGAATAATAGACTAGATCTTGTTAAAAGTCTTACTTACCTTGCTCTTTATTTCTGCAACCCTTTCTAAGCAGGGAAGATTTTTCAATGTGGATGGTTGCTTAAAGGTTGGGAAAAATACAGAATGGTAACAGAGAAGGCGGTGAGCACAGCTTTCCCTTACAATAATGATAATTTTAGGTTTGTATTTTTTTTAAGCATATTTGAATTCAGGCTGTAATAATAGGTATTGCAGCTGCGTGATCATGAAAGATCATGTGCTTGATTGCTATTTATATACATATATGCATATAGATATTGAACAGGCACTTCATTTACTGTATTTATTTTTTGTGACAATGGGCTGATGGAGATGGACTGAAGTATAAAAATCAGTGCAGTGAAACCGCAGTCGTGCATTGGCTTGGAGACTGGCAGAACAGGCAATGGCAGTCACTGTAAAAAAGGTGATAATACCGAGGAAGAACAGTAAGTAAGTTCTAGAAGTTACAGTCTACAGTAACTTGTTGGCTGTAGGAACAAAAAGTGCTTGGCATGTTCTTCTCTGTCAGTGTGGTTTTCTGTTTGTTTTGAGGACTAAAGCACATTTTGTATTGTTGACCTCTTCTAAGGATTGAGGTCAGAAATTAAACAACTTTGAATTTGGATAGTTCAGTTTCAAGGTGTCCAGTTGTCTTTGCAGGCAGCCTGACCCAAGTCCACCTGCAAGTTCCAGCTGCCATTTGCCAGATGGTGAAGGGGCCTTCCTGGGAAGTGCTTAATGGCTGTGACACCACTGCAAGAGTAGTACGTGCAGCTATGCATATGTACAAATGCACTCCTGGATGCTGATGGATGTGATACTGGGAGTAGAACAGACCCAGGGTTATCACCCCCAGGTGTCCCTTGAGTCCATAGTGTATGAACCTAGCAGTGTACTTGGGAGGCAACATAGATGTTGGTAGCTGCATTCTTGGGTGTAAACTGTACTGGAATCACTTACCCTGTGTGGCAGTGACAGGGGTGAGCGTGAGGGAAGGAGAATTGACAGTCTAATCTCTGAATGTGGCAAAATGGCCATGCTCCAGCTTCCTGATGTATTTGTGCAGGGATCCAGAGAGTTAAACAGAGAGAGAGAGTTTAACTTGGCAGCAGCCGAGGACCAAGACAGAGGAGACAGTGACTGTAGGAAGAAGGAGCAGCAGCTGTGGTTGCCTTTCAGGTTGCTTCAGGCACATCTCTAAATCTTATTGCTCCAGCTTAGCCTTAAGCAAAGAGATAAGGAGTATAACAATGATTGATTGTTCACCAGGTTACGTAACCTGGTGAACATGCTGGTAACCAGCATTCTTACTTACAAAGGGGGTCCTGCAAAGTGTGCTTATGGCAGTCGTTGTTGGATAGTCAGTCTAGGTACTGTAAAAGTGGTAATTACTCTTCCCTGAGATGAAGTAGAAATGGAATCCATTATTTACATTCAAATTTGCCAGGAGTAAGCAAGCAGTTTATGCTTAACCTCTCTGACAGTCCTGCTGATACTCTCTCTGATTTATTGAGTCTTTATTTGACCTCTCTCAACCATGACGTGAAGCAAGGAGCTTTTCCAAGTTCACGTGTAAGGAGGGAAAGCAGGCTGTGCAGAGCTGTGATGCTACGTCAATGAAGGCTGGATGTCCGAGGTGAATTAACATTTCTGCTTAGTTTTCTAAAGATCCATTCAATTATGGAGAAGTAATGGTTTCCTCAGAAATGGCCTCTGAAGCTGTCTTCATGAGCGTTCCACAAACTTACTCTAGACAGAGTAGGACTGTTGGATATTTCTGAGCACTGACTGTGTAAGAGAACAATCTGTCAGCAAAGACTGCAGACTGGTTAGCCTTGGTTCCTTGCTCATCTGTTGACCTTGTGCTTGTGACCTCTGGCAGGTTTGCAGCAGGTCATATGCAAGTAAAAGACTTTTCTTATTTGCTCTGACACATACCGTGAGCACTGCCTGGAACCAATATTTATTTTCTGGAGTATAGCTTCTCTGTCCCAGTGATAAAATAACAGTCTGGTCCTTACTCACACTCCAGAATAACTAGGACTAACACCAGCATGTGGATACCAGAGCAGCTGAGGACTCATCTGTTAGTGCAAATTATTTTCGTAGCTTAAAACTGCATGCAATATAAACACACCCTGTGCGTCTTGCTACAGGATGTGTGTTTTAATGTAAAAACCCATTAATGCCAAAATGGGGGAAATGTGTTTGCTGAAGCACGAAGTGGTTTTGAGAGCTCTGAATCCCTCAGGCCAAGAGGAACATTGTGTTGCAGTCATTTTGTGACAATATTTTTGGACTTTTGGAACAACAGGTTTGTCTGTAGGCTAAAGTCATCTTTGCTTATTGGACCCTCAGACCTGCGCGTTGTGTATGCAAATACACTCAGTCTTTGAGCTAACAGAAACAGGGGTCCTCTCCTCTTGCTCAAATGTATACCCACTGAATTTGCAGGAACTCATAAGTTCAGGTGCAGGCTTTGGCGGTGGCAGTGGCAGGGATCAACCGTATCAGATACAGAAGGATGTTTTGGCCAGAAGATATGTCATTTTCCCCCTCCCAGTCTGCTTCTCAGAGCATCACTACAGTGCTAGTGCCATTAGGCTCTTGTTTGTTACACATCTTCCTGAAAAAAAAACCCCGACTTAGTACCTGCACCCAGTGATTCCAAGTACCAAGCTGCCCATTTTGGTCTTGTTTTGGACAGAAAGATGACTCGGTCTCAAGTTTTGTGAGATTTTTTTTGTTGTTGTTGGTTTGTTTTTCAAAGGGGTGGCTCATCTTTCAGTGAGGTGTATTTTCCAATGTGGTATATTCAGTTCTCTACGGTTCATTAGACATGAGAGAGTTATCATAGATTCTTCAAGGATTTAAATGAACCCAGATGGTAGATTTTGTGAATTCTAGCTGTGGCCTGAGGGTTATGCAGCCCAGGGTATAACAGTCTCCGAGGGGTGGGAGGGTGTTCTAGAGCATAGTCAGTTGTCTTGCTTCCTCATTATTTGCAAACTATGTGTAAGAACATACAATGGGGACATTGTACAAATGAAAAGCTTACTGTTTCGGAATTAGAAACAAATTCCCTTCTGCCTTACCACATTTCCTCAGAAGTAAATAGTCTTGGTATGACTTGCTTAAAACAATATTTCTGTTGCTCCAAAGAAACATTGCAAGACGGAGAAGTAGACAACAAAATACCATAGGCTAAATCATACTGTAAATTATGATCAGGTAGGTTGCTTCAAAGTGGAAAGTCAAAGATGGAGGGGAAGGGGAAGGTTTAGTGTTGGAGTGGTTGAGAAGTACATAGAAAAAAAATAATCCACAGATTGTTCAAAAATGTTATTGTTTTTAGCTGAGCCCCAAACATTGCAGAGTTCACGTATGTGTAAATTCCATTTAAATAGGTTATCCTGTTTGAAAATTTCTTAAATACCTGTTTGACTTCCTCTGTTTTGCCACCAAATAAACAAATATTGAAGGTTGGCCTGGGAGAGGCATTTGATGAGAACATACCCTGACTGAATCATCACAGCCAAGATTTATGCCAAGATGATCTAAAGTACCAGCTTTAAAAGTCTGATCATCTTTTGCTGCTTCAGATCAGTTGTTGAGATATGTCTGCAATTTTTAAGGTCACCTTTAGACCTCAGCTCCCTGCTCAAAAAGCAGTGCCTCATCTCATTGATCAAGAGCCTCCTAGCCATGACTGGCCACACAGCACTGCAGCTGCCTGCACCTTTCAGTTCTTACAGTTAAAAAATGAAAATAAATTCGGCTGTTAATCAGCTTGTTGCTTTCATTAGCAACTTCTGACTGTTGCTGTTTCTTCATGGTTGGTTGTTGGGTTGTTGGGTTTTTCTTTCCTGCGTCGGGTGCTACGTCACGTACCATAATGTTGGTTCTCCTGTGGTTTCTGTTGAGGTCACTGCTGCTGTTGCTGCATGTGGAAAGGTGTTACTGCATCAGTTGCTTCCGCTTCCTTGTTTGCTGTAGGAACTCTGTGTACTTAAAAAGGCTGAATACTATCAGTTTGGCTGAGTTTGGTTCCTTAGCGTATCACCACTGAAGTCAATAAATCTTTCTTAGATTCGGTATTACTTTAATCATAAAGAAAACATGAATAAAAGGGCTGTGGGGTGTCAGTCTAACTTTACCCCTACCTCAGGGCAGGAACAGCTCAATCTAGATAAAACCTTCTTTGAGTGTAGTGTAACCTATTTGTCCTTAAAGATAGTCAATAATAATAGCTTCATAGCCTGTGGGGCAACTTGTTCCAGACCTTTAACTGTGCTTTTATTCTTGGAAATACTTAGTAATAAGTAATGTTGTCAGGCTTGTGAAAACTTTTATCATAGCTCTCTTGTATTTATTTATTTATTTTTAATTTTTTAAAGGTTATGCAGTAGATTTGAAAATCCCCAAACCAAAAAAATCCCAAAGGAACAACCTAGTCCTATGCTACTAAAGTGTTTGCAGTTCTTAAGGACATCCGCGTTCTGTCTTTTGGTGTTTCCTAGGATTCTGCAAGCAATAACTGATTAATTTCTATTTTGCTTTTTCTCCTCTCATTAGAATATAGTAGCAGTAGGCGCTGGGTTCTGTGATGGCCTTGGCTGTGGTGACAATACCAAAGCTGCTGTTATTCGCCTTGGCCTAATGGAGATGATTGCCTTTGCCAGAGTTTTTTGCAAAGGACAGGTGTCTACTGCCACTTTCCTGGAGAGCTGTGGAGTTGCTGATCTCATCACAACGTGTTACGGTGGCCGGAATCGACGTGTAGCAGAAGCATTTGTTAAAACTGGAAAGGTACGTTATTCACTCGATGGAATAGATTGTTGCAAGTACTAGCACTGCTGGTTTGATGGAGTCATAGCAGAGTTATCTGAGACATGCTAGCTGTACTGAGTGAGGAGTACTCTCTTTCCTCTCATTTCTGAGTGTGTTACAAAGCTAGATTGAATGTAAAAGTGTTAAGAAGGAGGGACGATTCAAAGAAAAAACAAAAAAAAAATTTGAGAGATAAGATGTCGGGGAATGCAGATTTAAGGAGAATATTTCCAAATATTCCAAGAATATAAGAGAATAATATGTATGCTCATTCAAAGCCACTTCTGAGAAAGGGGAAGAAAAAAAAACAACAAACACCACCAACAAACCCTCAGTAACATGTTTGGCTTGGTTTTTTTCCATCCAGATGATGTTGTCAGGCTTGTGAAAACTTTTATCACCGCTCTCCTTCTCTTCCTTTTTTTCTCAACACTGTTGTTTAGTCTATTGAAGAATTGGAGCAAGAAATGTTGAATGGTCAGAAACTGCAAGGACCACAGACTTCTGCAGAAGTGTATCGCATTCTCAAGCAGAAAGGAATGCTGGAAAAGTAAGTAAGAATGGAAGAAGTTCCACATACCCCTTTTTTATCTCCATAATTCTTTCTGTGTATTTGGTGTTGATATCTTCATGAAGGTAATAGCCAAAAAGAAAATAACTGTAATATGAATAGCTCAGTCCCCAGTTAAAGTTACAGAGAGAAGTGAATAGAACCTCAGAATAACGTTGCTGTAGCTAGAGCTAATAATGTGACGTTAAATTTGTGAATGCCTTTCTGTTTGCAGAATATATTATTGCCTTCTGCTATCACAGCAAAGCACAGCAAGTATGGTTTAACATGTAAAAAGAATAAAATACATGAAAATAGAAGCTGAACTTCCTAAAGAGACTTGCAAAGCAGCTCTATAGCTCATTTCATAGTAGTAACGTCGTTACTTACCTCCAAGGAGAGGAGCTTTGTTACTGAGGATCTCTATAGCTGATCAGCTGGATAGTGGCTGCTTCTGTCCTGGTGGCTTCTAGCTTGGATACCACAGTTCTCTTTCCTGGTGTGACTTCTAGTTTGCTGTACGATAAACCCTACCATCTGCTTGTGTAGGTCAAGGGGTTTTTTTGTGGTATGAGATTAAGCAGGTTGGCCTGGCTTGTTCATTTGTATTCAAGACAGAACGTGTATGGTTCCTAAAGCCACACAGAGAGTTGTCTCCTGAGGAGATTAAGGAATGCATCTATCTGGCCCTTTTTGTAGATAAAGTCATTTATTTTTTGATTTTGCTTCCAGTCAGAAGGCCAAGCCTCGTTACTTTTTTTTTTTTTCAAAGTTTAGTTTTATTGGATCAGCTGCATTGAATTACTTATTGTTTAACATTACCTTTGGGTAAGGTCCCTGAGTCTGTCTCTGCAGTGTACAGTAATTAAGCTAACTGGAAAAAAAATCTAATTAAAATGTTGGCTTCACTTTTTGCTGTTTATGATTTCCTAAATGAGGCAGGATGTTGCGTTTGGGGTTTTTTTGGTTGTTTTTTCCCCATGTTGTAGCTTACAACAGAATGCATTATAGAAGACTTCGGGTTGTGTTTTTAATGAAAGATACGAAACCAAAGTTGGTGATTTCTGTTTGGTATACCAGTGTATGTGTGTCAGTTCTTCGTAAAGGGTCTCATTCAACAAGATTTTTGAAAGCAGCTTTCAAAGTGTTTTTTTGAAAACTTTCTTGCTACTGCTTTAAAACACAAAAGAGTAAAACAGCCGCAGTTTCGAAGCGAAGAGGTAAGACTCTAGTAAGAGTAAGATTTCATACTCTCATCCTACAAAAAGAGTCCCAAGACTATGATGAAATGTCAAAGTTCAGTAGAAGAGTCTGGGTAGGAGGGCTAATGCCTATTGATATTTACAGCCCAATTCATTTTTTTCATTTCAACAGTTGTAGAACGAGCTCTCTTAATGTGCTCAGACGTAAGATGCATTTGGAGTTTGCTGGCCCTGAGCCTGCAGCCAGCCTTGGTCCTGCTTTCCCCACATGGAGTGCAGAGGGGTCATGTTCTCTGCACTCACGTATCGAGATGTGGACTGTAGTAGTGATATTTCTTCAGTCCTGTATCTAAAGCTGTGTGAAACTTGCTTTTGGTTCAGAAGGTTCGCCTGTTTTGTTGCTGCCTCTAGTAAAATCTCTCATAGGCATAACAAATTTTATTTTAGTGCCTACATGTAAGTTTTTAGAGTAAATCAAATTCAGCCCCACAACTGCCCACCACCACAGCCCACTGCATTATACACAGTGAGTGATAAGTGAGACTTGTTAATAAATTCAAAAACCTTTGTGTAGATTTTTTTTTCCTGCGCATTTCCTAGTAAGGGTTTTGCGACCTAAACAATATAGCATTGAATTTGAAAAAGCAATTACGTAGCTATATGCTAATTTTGGTTTCACTGGAGAAGTAAAACCAACAATCAAGTCATTTGGATTGACCAAAAATAGGTTTTGCTATTGCTGCTATTTTTGTCTTGTTCTCCACAAAAATAAACCAAAAGAAACAGACATGTGTCGTGTCGGACATGAAAATGTTTCAGATAAAAATGAAATTCTACCTTTTGAATTAAGCACTTGTAATAAAAGCCATAGAAACAATGTACTAAATTCACAACCGTGTCCATTCCTCCCCCCTTCTTTGCCTCAGTAACGCGAGTTATTGCATTCAGCCCAGTACAAATCCTGTGCCAGCCCCTGAGAACGTGGTGTCACCGTGCTGTAGTAGCACCCTTGAATGGCTGGTGGCTTCTCCTGTGACCTCTGGCTCATTCTGAGGAGTCTAGTTCAGAGCCACGTGGTGATCCCAGTTCCCTCAGTGGAACACAAGCTGAAGAAGTGCATTGGCAGGTGCTCAGTGCTGGTCGGGGCTTCTCTTCTCTACTGCATTTGTGCATTACAGAGAAACCTTTAGAGTCACTGCTGGGACTGCCTTCCTGAGGGGAAAGCCCTAGTCCAGATGTATTCTGCATCACTCAGAAATTGAGTTATTTCACCATCTCCAATGCTCCTTTATTTTTCATTTCAGTCAAAATAACCTAGTGCATTTGGTCAGAAATGATGTATGAAACGCCACACGGAAATGCTGTATTTATGTTGGTGAACAGTTAATTAATCCCTAAAAGCTTTCTGTAAAAATAGCACTTGTCTGGCTTTCACTGTCCAAGATGGACAGGAAGCAAACTTAAATTTCTGTAAAGTATCTTGGCTGTAATAAGCCTTCATATTATCAGAGAAGCCTGAATAATTTGGGCATTGTTGGTAACATGGCCAATTTAAAAAAAAAAAAAAAAAAGATTGAATTTAGTGTTTCAAAATCAACGTTTAATTTTGGACTCATTAAAAATTTGACCTTCAATTTCTTCTTGGGTCTCTCTGTGTCACATTCTGCAATTGTATTATCAAATTATTGTTCAGAGATAATGCAAAGCTGACGTGCCAGTCATCCTTTCTAACCATAGATGAGTACTGCTGTAAGAATGTCAAGGAAAGATGTGAGTGTTTTTAATTTTTTAGATGGCTTAATGGTTGTGCCATACATAATGAATGTAGCAGGCTCCATTATAGCTAGCCAGGCTTCTGAGAGTGACTCATTTTGGAGATGTATGTAGGTTCTGTATTTATCCAGTGCTTTTCAGCCCAGCATTAGTGCTTGACAAATACTAAAAGAAATTGATTTTTCAGTCTCTCTCTTTTCCCTTCCTCTCCTCACCCCATTTTATTTCTTTCCTTTAACAAAACGTTGCAGGATAAACTTACGCTGTGTTTGCTTTCCCCACCTTATTTCCTCAGGTTTCCACTATTCACTGCCGTCTATCAAATCTGCTACGAAGGGAAGCCTGTCAGAGAGATGATATCCTGCCTTCAGAGTCATCCAGAGCACCTATGAAATCAATCAGGCCGTTGTGCTAATGCAGCTTTCTGCCTTTCCAATTGATATTGGGGTTCAAGTGGATGGATCGTGAAGCTTCCTTCAAAGCTGCTCGCTCGGCACCAGCACCAACGGGAATGTCTCCGGATGGGTATTGGGTTTTGTTTCACAGCGTAGTTTGCCATTAGCATGCAGTGTTGCCTTGGTGATTGTCCTTTTACTGCCTAAAATAACAGCTGTTTTTAAGATGCGCCATGCAAAAGTTGCACTACATATCTAGTGTATATACACAGGTGTACTTTGTGTGTGTTCCTACACCATAAACCACAATGTTTTGTTGTCTCTTACTAAGGCCTAGTCCAAAATCCACTGGACACCGTGGGAAGAATCCCTCTGGTTTTGATGAAGACTGAATCAAGCCTGTAACCTTGAAATATTAGGAGTCTTTCTATTAGGAGTTGGTTTTACTCAGCATACAGGTTGAAATTTTAACATTTTGCATGTTTAGGATTACGTTAATTTAAGCAATATTAATGCAAAACAAGTGGTAGCAGTTATTCAGGGGGCTACAGGGGTATTTTAATGACGTCTGATGAAGAATATTTTGATTTTTGAAAGTCTTTAAAACTGTCAGACTATTTTGAAACCAATTTCTAAGTGAATTTAAAGTTTTTAATTACACTGGTTTAAAGGGAATATTCTAGAGGGGGATCATTACCTCCCCTTCTGATTTTTAATCCTTGCATTTTTGTATTTCTCCGTTTCTCCCTTGCTGTTCCCAAGACTTAGGCTCTTCTGGAATCCTATTCCCCCAACCAAGTAGGAGACAGTGACCTGGGGATTCTGGAGGCTGGAGCCTAGGGTGCATTTTAGTGCTGTACCTGGGGTCGTTCTTCCCTGGTATTTTTGGTGGGTGGGGAAGGATGCTCTTGGGTATCGCTGCTCCGAATTGTCATGGTGTCTTTCTGGCTGAACCGTCAGCTGCAAAGTGTTGCACTCCACACAACACTCCCAGGAACGTTTGGGGAACTCCCTGATAGATCATGCTCGTGTTGTCAAAGGGTTATGTGCCAGTACACTGACTGCAGGCATTTCAGTGCCTGCCAGTGACTGACATCAACTGGACCGTAGTCCTGAACCACCAGAAATTCTGAATTCTGAAGTTACTCTTTCACTGGGTAAAGCTTCAGTGGGTGCTGGATCAAGCCCTTTATGACCAATCTCTACTCTTTCACTGGGTAAAGCTTCAGTGGGTACTGGATCAAGCCCTTTATGACCAGAAACCTTTCTAAAGGCATCTGTCTCTCTTATTCCCCAGGTATCTCAACTAGTTTTTTCAGGCACTTTTGCTTTATCAGGGAGGTTCATTTTATTTATTATTGGAAATTATTGTGATTTTTATGGAGTTTGGGGGTGGGGTGGGTTTTAGGGGATTTTATTTTTTTTTTTTTTACAAGGTTGATGCAAGAGAAGATAGATAAATGAAATCTGTCTTGCTTTTCTTGTATAACAAACTGTCATTTTCTTGGTAAAATATATGCTAGGTACATAAAGAGTGGACCCATTCCTGCAGCTCCTAACCTTGAGGCAAGGGTCAGCATTGAGATTTACAGAGCTCGCTGAGAATGCACATCCGCTCTGAATATCCACTCCAGACCTCTGAGCAGCGTCACAACTGGTGTTCACTCTTCTCAGTGATGTTTTTAGATGAGAAACTGTGAACACAAACCCATCCTGAAGCTTTAAGTTGTCATTTTAAACTTGTTAAAACAAAGGGGGTGCCTGGGAATAATTGGCATAATTAAGTAGCCTGGATTACTCTGAAACAGGTGACCATTGGGGCAGCTTTGTAAGGACAGAATGATGCTTCAGCTCAGGGGTACCATTTCTCGTGCTCCTATAATGTTTTGCATTAATTTTTGGAAGATCTCATGAATGTCACCAGATATTCAAAGATGTGAAAAGTTATTTTGCCTTATTTCTGATTTAGTGCTAAATATAAAAGACGGCCAGAAGTAAAGGAACATGAGGTGTTTGTGGCGATTGAGGAAATCACTGCTAGAGCTGACTGGGAGTAGGTGCTCTGCTCAGACAGTTCAAAGGGTGTTTTAAGATTGGAAGCCCCGTTCAGTAACGCACACGTGGGGTGTACACTCCTCATTACTGCATAACTTTCAGTGTGTCTGCTTATGCTTTCTGTTGGGGTTTTTTTTTTTAATACCAATCTGATTGGCTTTGCCTTTATATGTGTGTATATACATATATATATATAAACTTTTTTTTTTACATGCAGTATGTAGAACAGTAGCATTTTGTAAGATACATAAAGGGCTATATGAGCTAAATGTGGTAAATTAATATATTTTAAAATTATTTCTTTCTTATTCCATTACTACTTCTACCACTGAAACCCCAAAATCTTAATTGTTTTTGTTTTGTACAGAAGCCGATTCTAAGGCAAATCCAGAGAAAAGGTTTTTATGGAATTCTTTCCTCCAGTCTGTAACCATATTCTTCTTCTTTTCAGACAAAAAATGTGGTTTCAGTAACTAAAATTTATTTAAATTTCTATAGATACTTCACTATTTGTTTTTCAGTGCTTGAAAACACTCAGCTTGGCACTAGATATTTTTCCCCCATTAATATTTACTGCTCATTAAAAGACTGTGATGTGATACTGGAACTGAGTGATTAGAATCCTGTTCTACAAACGCTGTTTTGCCTAGTGCTGGGATAGTCTTACTGAAAACATGAACCCCTGTGTAAGGGGCGGTAAATTAGTAACTAATTCTTGATTTATGAGCATTAATTACTAAGGAAGGCATTATCTTCTAATGATACATACTCAACTTGCCCTAGACACGTGTACTGATTTTGTTTAAAGATTGTGAATGTATACCCATTTGAAGAGTTAGTACAAATAAACATTTTTGTCTTGGGAATCACTTTGGTTTCTGTTGTCTCATTTTACGTGGCTTGCGATTAATATTTTATTCACTTGATGGAATGTAGGTTTTTATGGCTATGGTATGTAGTGATAGCAGATAGGAGGTTGCCGTGCAAGAATTTAAGTTTTAAAAAGAGTTATTTGACATCCAGATGTCACCGTTTTAATTTCTGTCCATTAGTGGAACAGTTGTGGTGTCTTTGACCTCCCGACCAGGTCCTCATCTTCAGTTCCTTGAGCTGGTGTGTGAGCCACTGGAGGGCGCTGGTGGGTAAGTGACCAGTTCCCCCTGCCTCACCGTTACTTTGCTTCCCTTTTATTTTTCAGCTGCTGGAAGTGAGAGAAAGAGCTTGGAATAAAACACCCAACACCTTATTACCTCTGCCCAAGGCCCTGCCTTGCCAATCGTATAAGACCCTCCCAGTACAGGGCAACAGTCACTACTTCAGCTCCTGGGCAATATGGCCAGTGGCATCACTTTGGATGCACTTTACAGGACCCCAAAATGCTTGTTTCTGTTGCATCTTGGAGTTGCAAAGGGACGAGAGCGTGTTGTGCTCAGTTTTGTCAGTTTTTACATCAGCTAAAGGGGTAGGAGGTGTCACCAGTGTTTAACCAGGGAAAGAAAGGTCTGCGACTTAGTTGTGGGGCACCATACTGTAATGGAGCGGGGTGTTTTGGTGAATAGAATAACGCACTGTCTACCTGAAAGTCTCAAAGCATTTAATAAAATGAGAGCAACGTCCCAATTCCTTATTACAGACAAGGATACGGAGACAGGTAAAGGTGGTTGCCCAGCAAACTGGGTGCATTTTATTCTTAATTTTCAGCCAGAGTCTCAGCCATTAAATCATTTCCCATTGCACTTTAAGCTCAAAATTGTATTTTTTTTTTAAGGGTGCATTAAATGAACTAGCAGTGTAAATATGTGGGTATCTAAAACATACCATCCAAAAGGCCAAAGCATGGGTCAAGAGAAAAGTAAAAACCATCAGTAGAGAATTAGGATGGATACATTTCTTTCATATGGGCGTTATTTTCTGAAGGGGTGGTGCTTTCTCACTAAATCAGAGCTTGTGGGCTGGGTGTCTTTGACCATCTGGCTGTAAATAACACCCCGCCTGGCCCGGAGACCCAGGAAACACGGCAAAGAAGTCACTTTGCGATGGCCTGTGCTGAGGGTTCTTCATAACCTGGACTCTGTGGTAAGGCTGGAGTCGTGCGAGTGAAGTACGTGGGGGTCACAGGGGCTGGTTAATGCTGAAATTAAATGCTGTCCCAGAACATGAAGCACTTCATATTATTAGAAAGGGAAAAAATATTTCTCTTTTGCCTGTTTCCTGGCCGCACGGAGTTATCTCTTTGATTTGCCAAGAGCTGATAGAAATCTGAGTGCTAAAAGGTAACATTTCTATTTTGAATAATGGAAAGGGAGAGTATCTGCCTTCAATCCCAGCACGTGCGAAGGAGAGGTGTTTGGCGTTGGCGTTAAATGAAACCCTGTGCTCTCTGTTCTGACTTGATTCCAGATCCCTGCCAATATGCTTTGGGTAGGGACTTCCAGGTACTCTGGATCCATCAGCCTGGTCCTGCTCTTGCTGAAAGCAGCTGTAGAACTGGATTTTAAGAGGCGAGCGGCAGGGTGATGCCCAGCAGAATGGTATCTCTGAACTGGATTTACCCATTTATTATCTTTACCTCTTACCTACAGTGTATGTTTTCGAGCGAGGTTGTGAAGGGCAATTGTAGGAAGCGCTGGGAACCATATGTTGATTATTTCAGGAAGTTACTAGAAACAGCAGGAATTACTGCTTTTAAAAGTATGTTCTTCGTGTAAGGTGTGCTGTAGGAATTAGTGAGTAATAAACTAAGCACAGCGAGCAGTTCTGATGGTTCGTGTGGGGTAACTGCCAAAGTCTGCTCAGTACAACCCACACTGCACTGTGCTGTTAGCACTGCTTGAAATGCCCAGTGTTGTGACAACATTTTCTCAGCTGGATGGGAGTCATTTAGTGCCCTTCACCCTACAGCTTTCCTTCACATCTATCCCAGCTTCCCTCTCGCCTTTTTGTGCCCGCACCTCTCTGTGCTGTTTTGTAGTGAACCTTAAGAAGGGATCTTCACATCAAAAGGTGAGTGTACGTACGTGCATATGCTCATCCATAGAGGAAACACCACCTACCTTTTATTGAACGTTTCCGTGCCCAAGTGAGCCTTGGGAGGGGCTGGGAACCGTGCACAGGCTTTTAGGGGAGGCCACCAAGAGGCCCTTTGGGGTTGCTGTGTCCATCCATTCCATTAAAGCTGCTCCATTGTGAAGCTCCAGTCCATAGTGCTCTTCCAGACCACCCTCCAGTCTCTCGGATGGCAGGACGTCAGCCTGGGTTAACTGAAAACATTGTTTTAAGGGTACAGTGTCACATCGATTTTACCGGTCACTGAAGCTCTGAAATGCCACATTTATTAAAAATAGTGCATATTCCATGTTTAGGTGAAAATACTAATGGCATTAATTGAACTTGTTTGCCCTTTCTCCAACTCCAGTTTCATTATAAACCCCGTTTTAGAAACTGCAAACCATTGCATCACACTCCTGTCACAGAAACACACTTCAGCCTTCAGCGCAAGAGATTCCTTCTGAGTGGTTTATGTTTTAAGGACTCGGTGAATTGCAGTTTGATGATTGCTAAGCACAGTCATGTGGTGGGCTCAGAAAGTACAGCCTTGGGGATTTTTAGTTTGCTTTCTTGCTTTTTTAAGGCTGGAAAGAACTGGAAAGCAAGCCAAATCTGTTGGCAAGCACCAGCTGGATTCCTGACCTATGTAAATAATAATATAGAGACATTTATGAAGCATTAGCCAGCATTTAAAATACAAACTTCAAACTGAAGTACTTGCACAACAGCTTCTCAGTAACTGGAAGCTATTTTTTACCTTTTTTTTTTTTTTGGTGGTACCCAGTCCCTATATTGTTGCACTGAGACAAACCGACATGTATCATGATATGGGATTTTGAAGGCTCAAAACACTTGAAATGGTTTTAGCAAAGTGAGCTCAAAGGAAGCTGCTCCGTCCTGTGGTAGCTGCACAGAGCCAGCCTTGGCTGCGCCTGTGCTTTGCATTAAAGCCCAGGTTTTGTACAAGTGGTTTTAGAAGGGCATTTAAACCCAGTTTAGGGATTTTTCTAATTTCCACATACTGCACAGAGTTGTACTGGAATGTGACAGGGATGCTTGGTGTTTCATTTTCAATCTAGACTTCAGCAGCAGCA